AAGGGTGGTGGATTATAAATTTTAAGGGTATTTAGGATATTTTATAATCTTTGGTTGTGAATTGAGATACTTTGGTGGTGGAAATAGCACCACTCTTTTTAAAAGACTTTGGAGAGGAAAAGGTATTTTATCCCAATTTCAAATGCTAAATGACAAATTTATATATGGCAAATGACAAATGGCAAAAAGGGATATGACAAGGGATTTAAATGCACATTGGTCAAAAAAAAAAAAAAAACAGTCTTTCAAATAAATCCATCCCCATGTCTTTAGTCTAAAATATCCTCCATAATATAACTTTTATCAATTCCATCCATTACACTCTAACTTCCTTAATATTACACATTAACCCCGGATTTAAACAAATATATCACATTAACCCCCATTTTAATAATGTTTTAAAAAAAATTATTTTTCATAAAATAATTTTTTTCTGAAAAATTTTTCCCAGCCAGATTCTGGCGTTTACTTTTTTTATTTGTTTTAAAAACCATTTTTTTTCTGAAAATTTTTTCCGGTCGTTCAACCGCCGTTGACCGCTGGTCTCCGGCGGTTTTTTTTCTTTTTTTTTTTTTTTATTAAATTTTGTTTTTTCTTAGAAAAAAATATTTGAAGTAATATTACTATCTTGGCTGCTAAATTACTATCACAGACAGTAATATTACTGTTTGGGACAGTAATATTATGAATATTATTTTCCCGAAATTACTGTCCCAAACAGTATTATAATTGCATGAGACAGTAAAATTACGATCGGAGACAATAATTTTACAGTCGAAGACAGCAAAAATGTAGGCAAAGACAATAAAATTAATTAATACAATAATATTACTGTCTCAAGCAGTTATATTACTGCTGGAAACATTAATTTAGCAGCAAAGACAGTAATATTAATTAAAACAATTTTTTTAAGAAAAAACAAAATTTAAAAAAAAAAAGAGTCAATTTAGCAGTTAAACTACTGTCTCCGACTATTAAATAACTGTTGGAGACAATAATGTAGCAACCAAGAAAATAATTTTAATTAAAATATTTTTGTAAGAAAAGAAAAGGGTCAATTAACAGTTAAATTATTGTCTCCGACAGTAACATAACTGCTGGAGACAGTAATTTAGCAGCCAAGACAGTAATATTAATTAAAATATTTTTTTTAAGAAAAAAAAAAATTAAAAAAAAAAATAAGAAAAAAAGAAAGAAAAAGTCAACGCCGGAGACCCGACGGTTAACCCACCGGAAAAAAATTCAGAATTTTTTTTTAAAAAAAAAGTTAACGCCGGAGATTGGTGGGTCAAAATTGGGGTCAAAATTAAAATTATGGTCAAAATTGGTTAATTGGTGAAATTGGGCTAAATTGGGGTGTAAATCATGAAATTGGAATTGAATTGAGTTTCAAAGAATTGAGGGTAATTTTGGTATATATAAAAGGGTTTTCCTTATTTGCAGATAAGTTTAAATGAGCTGGAATTTTTGTTTTTTTTTTTATCAAATGTAAAAATTTATATCATCAAGGATCAAATTTACATAATTCCGGGGCGTACCCCTGAACTCTGTACAAATCACAGAAAGACCCCTAAACTATACAGAATCTACCAATTACATCCCTAACATCAGAACTATACAGGGAATGTAACAAAGAATCACAAATTTCAAACTATACAATTTATACCTTTGCGGCAAAGTTTAATATCAGAAACCCCTTTTTGTTTTATTCTTTTCCACACTCACAGCACCACAATTGACTCTTTGATGTCAAAGTTCAGACCAAAGCCATTTTTTCCTTTTTTTTTCTTCTTTCTTTTTTCCCTAAATATATATTTTTTTTTTTTACCTTGGTCTGGCATGTACATATTAATTGCCATGTAATTTCGATGAAAAAAGTATTGTTCCTTGTCATGGACCTTTTTGAGATTAACCCATTTATATAATATATAAAACATGATGAATTCTACAATTAGTTGCTTGACATTTGGCAATTGCAATTGATGACATGTCATCAATTTCATCTCATGTGAAAAATTAATTGGTAGAAATAAATCATCAAAAACAGATCATCACCGCTTATCATATTTAATTATTTCCATGTCATTTGTTTTATTACCTCAACAACTTCAAACAATAAACATATTTTTTAGGGCGTAAATTGGGAGCGGATGGTCTGAAAATTCAATATTATCGGACGCTATTCATCAGTTGTTTACACGTGGAGACATTAAAGTGAAAAAATAAATTGTGAACTAATTATTTTCTTTTCCTTTTCTTGTTTTCTCTCCCTCCTTTTACCCTTTTTCATTATTTTTTTAAATATATATTTTCTTCCACTTTGACACATCATCTTAACCTAATTTTTCAATACTATTTCTACAAAATTAATGTGTAATTTTGAAAAGAATCTGCATTAATGATGAACATTTGCTAAACTGATAAGTATGGTTTCACTAGAAAACTAATATGGGCCCCTTTGGTTCGAGTTATTACGCTTGATGGGACGAATAGTCCCTCACTATACGGTATTTGGTTCGGCTGTTACAAGCGAAATGAAAAATTTACAAATATATTACATATATATACGAACTTTCTTCTCAAATTCCCCGTTACTTTGCTGCCCTAATTTTACCCAGCCCCAACCAGCCCCACCTGAAGAGCAGACTCAAATTCACCATATTTCGGTCAATCTAAGCTTCCTGTTCAGCTACACCCAACATTTGCGGAAAGGTTATATGAAATTGCAGGTTCTTTGCATTTTTTTAATTTTTCGTTGACATCATTCACTACGTTGACTCCCACGTTTAAATGAAGCTCCCAATTTAATATCATACAGAGTTAGGGTTTCGTTCTTGAAGAGAGTCCATCAGGGTTTCGCGTAATTGTACATCGGACAGTCTCATCAACGGATTTCGAGTGGAGGATACAGGTACTAACCCAACTGGTATATGTATCATTTGGGTCATCCGAATGTTTATTATCTGCTAGTACTCTGTTAATTTACATTTCCTATTGTCTACTGTATGTTTGCGAAATTTGTTTCAATTTGTTTGCGTTCATCTATCTGTTATTTTCACATATTATTTGAGAGTTTGGTGTTCTTTGTAATGCGCACGTCCCAATTCTGTAAACGTGTTGCAGGAATCACGATTGGGCTATTTTGGTTAAACAAATTTGTGAATACATTTTGTAGGAACTTCTTGGCTTAGGATGGCTTTGTCAAACCGAGAAGAAGAAATAATAGTTGTCCTGCATCAACTAATGCTTAACATGAGGATTTTCTTCTTAATGTCGATGCATATTATTCCCAAATTTAAGCGTCGTTGTTTGAGGTCTGCGCATAGCTATAATCGAACTTATAGTATGATAGGAAGAACATCTTCACAACTCGATAATTTGCGTTCTATAGCTGGGTTAAACGATGTTGCATGTCGTGATAATCTTAGAATGAATATACAAACCATCTATCGTTTGTGTTATGTTTTAGAAAATGTTGGTGGTCTTAGACCAAATAGAAATGTCACCGTACCCGAGCAAGTTGCAATGTTTCTTCAAATTTTGGCTCATCACACCAAAAATGTTGTTGTTAAAAGCCATTTCAATAGATCAGGGTACACTGTTAGCAAGCATTTTAAACAGGTACTTGTAGCCTTGTTGAAGTTACACGAAATGCTTTTAATAGCCCCTAAGCCGGTTGGCGAAAATTCAGAGAACGAGCGTTTTTCATAATTTAAGGTACTAATTGTATATTGACTGCAATTACTTTCATATTATAATTATCACTTAAAATTGTTTTAAATCACTGTCCTCGTCATCAATAAAATGTTAGGGTTGTCTTGGTGCGCTAGATGGAACGTATATAGATTGTCGTGTACCTTGTCTTGATAAACCAAGATATAGGAATCGCAAGGGCTATGTGTCTGTGAATGTGTTAGCCGTTTGCGATGACAATATGAATTTTATTTACTTACTAACCGGGTGGGAAGGATCGGCAGCCGATAGTAGAATTCTTCGGGACGCAGTGACTAGAGACAATGGTCTAAGGGTTCCCACGGGTATGTTTGTATATGTATAGGGTAACAACGAAAATATTTAATTACAATTCGCTTCATTCTTCACCCAATTAGCCTCTTTTAGTTGTAGTAAACTCGTGCACTATTCCACAGGTAATTACTATTTGGTTGATAACGGTTACACGAATGGTGAAGGGTTTTTAGCACCTTACAGAGGTACTAGTTACCATCTTGATGCTTACGGTCAAGGTCAAATGCCCCGAGAAATTTTAGAGAATTTTTTAACATGAAACATGCAAAGGCAAGAAACATCATCGAGAGGGCATTTGGTCTTTTGAAGTCACGTTGGGCCATTCTACGAAGTTCCTCATATTATCCCATCAAAGTTCAAAATAGAATCATAATGGCTTGTTGTCTGTTACATAATTTCATACGAACAACCAATGAGTTTGACCCCGAAGAAGAAACATTAGATGATTTTTTCCGTAAAAATCCAGGAATAATTAGTGGAGAAGACTATATTAATACGGTTGAAACTTCAGAAGAATGGACCATTTGGCGGGATACAATTGCAACGAACATGTACAATGAGTGGCTAGTTTCGCGTTAAACAATATTTTCAATGTGTTGCTTGTTGTTCAGTTTACTTGTTTAGTTTAATTTATTTGTTTTCCCTGAATAGAAAATCTATTTGTGTTGTAAGACTCGTTACATTTGGTGCACTGTACTTGTTTAATTGCATGTTTATTTGTAAGACTTGCTTTTTCTTAACATTTTGACGTCAAAAAATTCAGGAATCATGGAATCTAATGCTGGTTCGAAAAAAGGTACAACTAATAAGAATGATGTCATCAATAAAAGATGTAGTTGGACAGTTGTTGAAGAGCAGACTTTAATATTAGGGTTGAAAGATATTGTTTCGAGATGATGGAAATGTGAAAACGGTTTTAAAACTGGGTTTTTAGGAACTCTTGAACAATATATGGTACAAAAATTCCCCGGTACCGACCTCAAAGCAACCCCACATATCCATTCTAAGATACATGTGTGGAAAAAACATTATGCATCGCTAAGCACAATGTTATCGAGGTCGGGATTTGGCTGGAATGAAACAAACAATACCATTGAAGTCATTGACGAACAAGTTTGGCAAGAGTACGTAAAGGTAGATCATACTACTAAATCCTTTTTAATAATTTATGCGGTTCAATGCACTGATTTTATAATATGCATTTTTAAGCATTTAATTTTTTGCCATGTTTACTTAGACGGATGCTAATGCCCGTTCCATGAGGTACAAGTCATGGCCATTTTACAAAGACTGGACTACGGTCTTTGGAAAAGATCATGCAACAGGTGAACATGCTGAAACGTTTGTCGAAGCCATCAACGATTTGGTCACCAACTCGAAAGGGAAAGAACCTTGTTCCAACGACGACGAATACGTCCCACAACAGGATCCTTCACGCTCCGATAACTACTCACAATACATGTCATTCAGCCGAGTTGACGAAGCAACTTCTGCAAAATCTAAATCCAAATCCAAGAAGCGGCCACGTGTTGACGCCATTGAAAGTGGGTACATTGAGATGACGTCTAAGTTTTTTGAGAAAATGGAGTCCCAAATGAATGAACTTGTGAGCCGTATGGGCTTCGAGAAAGATGTGTCTATTGCACGGAAACAAGTGTTTGATGCCCTAGAAAACTTGCAACATCTCACTTTCGAGGAAAGGCTCAAAGTCACTTCCAGAATTTGTGACAATAGCAAAGACCTAGACATATTTTTCTGTTTGAGTGAGGACTACAAAGCAAGTATGGTGGAATTGATCTTAGAAGGGCGTTATTAAATGGTTATTTGGATTTTAATATGACATATTAATGTAATGATATATTCGTATTTTGCTGCTTGTAGTGAACTGTATTTACGTACGACATTATGTTTGACCCAACTTTTGATGACACACCACTATATTTTCCCCAATATGTTGCTATATTTTATCAATTGTATATGGTAATGTGTTTTTAATTGAAAAAACAAAGCTTATAAAGATCGATTTCAAACACTTAGCACTAACAGAGACAATACCAAACATTTTACGAACACAATATATATTGACATAGAAGTACCCAAACAAGCATAACAAGGAAAAAAAATAGTTAATGCAAATATATTACGTACTATTTTACAACACAAGCATGTAACCTATGGCACATGCACAAAACAAACATATCTTATCATTCATAATAAAAAACCATGTCCTTTTTCATATAGAAAACCCAATTACGCAAACCTTCACATTCCATTGTTTTCGGGGGTTTAAAATGCGCCCAACGGTGGCTTGTTTGAAGCGGTCGAGCTCTTTGGAGTACCGAAAGGCATGAATTTGTTTGCACAATCATCCCTCGATCTCAGCATAGAACTACCCTTGGCGTCAGGTTCATCCACAAAACGTGAGTTGGCCGTGCTTAATTCGGTGTCCCTTGAACCCTCGGAATCGGATACGTAGTTTTGGTAAGGCATCATATCGAAATCACTATCGCCCGATACACCCGAAGAAATGTTGATGACCGTGTTAGCATCGTTAGGGACAACATTTGCAAACTCCTGTTGAGCCAATAGGTCAAATGCATGAGCATTGACACCAAATCGGTCCGCTTCAATTGCATTTGCTACACCGCCGATATTCATTTCGGCATTAATTTTTGGCTCATCCTCATCGGAAGACAGAATGATAATCTCCTCACCGTCATTTGGGTTATCCACGGGGTCACTTCCAAAGATATACTTCAGGGCGTCATACCTTAGTTCGCCAACGGGGTTGTAAGCTCCGGCATAATGACTGGTCTGCAAAAAAAAAATGTTATATTTAATTACTTAATGTTTGTTAGGAAAATAATACTAAGTAAATTGTCTTACGTACAAACCTTTAATATATGATTCCACACTTCTTTGGATACAGAGATGATGTTAGTGGTTGCATTATATGCTACCCCTTCTTGTGACAATATCCAATGAAACGTAGTAAACCTCTTTTGTAATAACATCATCTTCTTATTCAAATGCTTGTATGAGAACCACTTGTCGAACTTGTGCTGAATCGCCTCTTGACAACTCAACAGGGCAAGAGTATTTTCCCCATTACGCTCGAAATTGCGAAGACTAGATTCCAACCTCAGTAACTCGACGAAATAGTCATCGATTGCATCAGTCCACTCTAACTCGTACAAAAAATCTTCTTGCCTACAAATCGGTTTCTTTTTTGGAGCCACGCAAACTATATCTTTGAACTTAAGCAGTTAGATTTGTTTCACTTGTTATACAAACACTCGGCATATATAAGTAAATCAAATAGGTCATTACTGCAGTTAGGTAAGGGGCTTAATGTATACAATTGCGGTAGCACCAATATGAATTGAAATTATTAACACAAATTTTTCTCGGGGTGCAGTGCAGATTTGGCATTATTTATCATGTCATTCGATCCCATAATTGTCTTTCAATTGTCATTTGTGACTTTTTTAATAAAAAAAAAGGTGGTTTAATGGAATTTGCAGGATTACAACTACTATTGCAAATGACAACTCGAAGGATCTTAAATTCTTCTTGAAGAAAGTAGGGAAGAATTCGAATAGACAATGGTTAGGTGTGCATTAACAGCTCTCGTGAACAGTGATTAATCATTTCATTTCAGGCTAAATTTATTATCATGCATTAAACACACACTACAAATACATTGTATTGAAGTGTACATCAACCGGCGAATATGACCGATTGGTTCAACCAATCAATGTCTTTACTTTTTTCCATTAAATTCCTTTAAGAGACCATTTAATTTGGGTACAGTTTGTGGAGTTTGCGTACACATTGGGAAACTCAGAAATTGCACTCGTTGTTTTCATCAACTTTGTAAGGTTTGAATAATTTTTGGCTTTTATTTTGTAGTGACAAAAATTATATATTTGTTAATCTTCGTTCGGTGTAATATGTTTCATCAAAGTAATCCATGTTCCATTGTTTAGGTGTAATGTCGAGACCGAGACCCCGTAATCAGGTTCACTTGGCAAGGATGAACACAGAATCGTGGCTCGTTGCATTCGATGAGTGCCTAATGAATGCCGCTGCCAGATTTTCACGCTCCGTGGATACGTTGCAAAACGAAGAGGCATACGAAGACCTCCTCTTCGAAGTTATCATGACAATGAACTATCATTTCTCAAGAAACTTTGAGGAGGTTGATATCAAATGGAGAATGGAATGGTTTCGAAAACGTTTCTTAGCATTTAAGCGATACATTGCGCAAGACGGTGTGACGTTCATCCGCTCGAAAAGGAAAGTGACATTGGATAGGAGTTTGTGGCATTTGGACCGTCGTGTAAGATTTTAAATTTTTTTGTGTTTTTATGTGCTTCATTTAATATATTGTTAATCAATATAATACCGATTCATTATGCATTCCATTTGTAGGAGACGGAAGAGGAGAGGGCTTTTAGGGTGAATGGATTTCGGTTCTACGAACAATGCAAATATGTGTTCGAAGACAAACAAGCTCCGATAGTCAACTTTCGAGGTTTTACCGGATACCATCGTGATAACCCAATCATCATTCACGAAGGAGATGATGGCCAGATTGTTGATCCTGAACAGGTTCCTCCGGAAAATCGTGCACTCATTCCATTTCAGGTGACGTGGCTCAGTTTGAAGTAGTCCAGTATCGCTCCCCGTAACTAGAACGTTTTATATTTAGGTCTATGTAGAATCTGCTATTATGATGTTTATGCAGTATTTCGTTATTTTGAGCACTTCTTTTATTTTCTTGTTTTAAGTATGTGTTAAAACCGCGGAACTAAGATTCCGAATTTTGGACTAGTACTTCACCTTGTTGGAAGTACTATGTTGCGTATGTTCAATCGGATGGTTATATTTATTATTCATATGGTTGTTATTTCATATTATTCTCCTTTTCATAAGTCATTTAGAACACAATCCAATATTTTGAAATCTGAAATATTTGTATCATACATAATACGCAATACAAATGCTGGTACTGTCAATTGTTTTGTCAATACAAAAAAGACAACCTAATTACATACAAAATTATATAAAGTAGTGGTTAACATACCAATTCGTAATGCATTATGACCAACAAAAAAAAAACTCGATTCAATTTTATGCAGGACACATATGATTTCATCTATGTACGCCTTATGTTGGGCAAAACAGGTTACAACACAACCAGGAAATAAAAAAGTAAAGCACCCACTGATACCGAAGCCGCCCAGAAAACTAAACGGGCCGACGTATTAGTTACCCGATTCTCCCAATCCCATCACCGTGCTGTTGCAATTGGGATTCCAAATCCGATATTTTGTTAACCAACACGGAGACTTCCAATGGAATCTGCGCCTCCAAATAGTTTATTCTCTTGAGCAAGCCTGGTATAATTTGCTTCGATCTATCACACATTTCAGGATCACACCAATTAAAAAAATGACAACCATTAACCTGAAATTGTATGTTCAATTCATTAGCATCAAACATATTGTATGAATATGAACTAAAAATTAAAATAATTCACTACATTACGAACTAATGTTTAAATTATTCATTACATTACGACACCAGATTAGCGGCGTTGAAATTTTCAGTTGTAATAATTAAGAACAAGGCATTTAATACGACACCAGATAATTCCTTGCATAAACCAAAATCTTAATATATTGTTTCAATATTGAAGAACCACTTAATAACAGTAACAAACAATCGCGATAGTCATTCTCTGGTTTTAACTTGTAACCCAACACATGTCCAACATCAAAATCGCATTCATTAAGGTTGAGTAATACAAAAACCTAATTAGTTAAAATAAAACCGGAAATTTTGAGTTCATGGGAAAAGAAATTACCTCCCCTTTGAGGGCAAGCTTCGAACCGTCGTCCTGGGTTTGTAGCTGTCCATGAAGTTTGTACGGCGACCATGTACCCGCAATCGCAATATTTTGGCATTTCCCGATTTATCTTGACTCCGTTGAAATTGTTGCTGCCCGTTTTCCGGTGAGAGCTACTACTACCAGAACTCATGATGATGTAACGAATTCAACTCGATTCAATGGCAGATTTATATTTCACCGACTACCAATTTAGGGTTGGAAATTATGGCAGGAATTGCAGATGGTTGGGGCTATGTGAAAACAGGAGATGAAGCAGAAAATCGATATATATATATATATATATATATATATATATATATATATATATATATATATATATATATATATATATTTCGGAAATACGCCCTTACGTCCCCACTATACAACTATGCGTAGTGGCGGATTGGTGGTCACCGGAACATCAATACCAACACAATACCACTGACCGAGTGTCAGAGTCAGTGTAACATGTCAACACTCCTATCTCCCTATCTATCTCTCTCTCTCTCGCTCTGTCGTGCTGGTATGTATATATATATTGTTATGAAAATTCGAGGAGTGTTCTTTTGTTTCTTTTTTTGTAACATTTTCACATTAACACAATAAAATAAAAAATAAAACATGTAGAATTCTGCGCTTGGTTGTTTGCAATTGCGAATGTGGACTTGATGACATGTCAACCTTTTGATCAAAAGTGAAAAATAAAAAGAAATAAAAAAAACACATAAACACAGCTTCACCGATTTACATATTTCCTTATTTCTATGTCTTTTACCTCATCAACTTATAAACATAAAAATATATATATATATTTAAAGGGGGAGCGGGGGAGCTGATGGTCTGACAATTTCACATTATCTTACGCTCTTGCTCACATGTGTACACATGAAGACATAAAAAGAAATCGAGAAATAGTGATCTACTTATCTTCTTCTCGCTCTCTCGCTCTCCCTCTCTCCTTTTTCCCTATATCTATATATATATATATACATACACTCAGCCACATTGACACA